GGGTTGCTGATGGGGGGAGGGGTTGCTGATGGGGGGAGGGGTTGCTGATGGCGGAGGGAGAAGGTGAAGTTCTCGATCATTAAGTGAGGAGGTGCTAGCTCACAATAATTAGGAGACATGAGGTGATCTTTATATACCTTGAGCTTGAATTTTTTTGCTTCAAACATTTTTAATAGGGTGACACCCTTCTCCGCACACCCCTAGATACATAAGCCACTGCCTGTGATTAGGGTGTAGTAAAGACACAGGTAGAGTCTGTCCTGAAGACCATCATCCTAGACGAAGTATAAAGAAAAAGCGTAGACTACACAAACCAGCAGTCTATACCTCAACAAAACTAGTGACGGTACTTAAGCTAGAATACCCCTCAAAAATAATAGAACAGTCAATTCTCAGGTCTATGTTACTCAACCATATTTGCATCTGCATGGTTGGTTGCATCATGATACATGAGGCTACTGGTCAGTTGCAAGATGCATGATACATGAGGCTACTGGTCAGTTGCAAGATGCATGATACATGAGGCTACTGGTCAGTTGCAAGATGCATGATACATGAGGCTATTGGTCAGTTGCAAGATGGATACATGAGGCTACTGGTCAGTTGCAAGATGGATGATACATGAGGCTACTGGTCAGTTGTAAGATGCATGATACATGAGGCTACTGGTCAGTTGCAAGATGCATGATACATGAGGCTACTGGTCAGTTGCATGATGCATGTCTGGTCAGTTGCAAGATGCATGATACATGAGGCTACTGGTCAGTTGCAAGATGCATGATACTTGAGGCTACTGGTCAGTTGCAAGATGCATGTCTGGTCAGTTGCAAGATGCATATACATGAGGCTACTGGTCAGTTGCATGATACATGAGGCTACTGGTCGGTTGCATGATACATGAGGCTCTGGTCAGTTGCCAGATGCATGATACATGAAGCTACTAATCGGATGCATCTCAGTCAATCATAAAATAGGGACCTCAGGATGTTTACAATAATGATGCTTTCCTGTTGAATATGTGAACATTTATATGTGCTAAATACTGTCACAAGGTGACGTTGAAATTGTGGAGCAAACAAACAACTTGGGAAGGAATACAATTTAACAATTTTACTAAATGAAATGATAATTATTACCAAATACTGATTAATTATGTTTGATATAAAATGATAAAGTTAATAACTTGACCACAACTGATTGATTGTTGAGTTAAATAGTGGTATCTCCTACCTTTCTAGCATCTCGATCAACTTTAACTGCACTCAACAATACAGAGCAAATTTGACATCTTATGGCTCTTGGCAACAGGAACAGGTAAATGGTAGCAACATTACTGTGGAAACATTAATTCAATAGTAATTAATATTGTATTAAAAATATACACATTTATATATTATATATTAATTTGCAAATAAGGATTTTATTTTCACTATTATAATTGTAATATTTAATTATCAATATTTAGGTCTACCATGATGATCATTAGCAATAGTAGTCTGGTCTCTAAAGTGAAGAGAGCATGGGGGGTAATTTAGCTCTGTGGTGTGCTGATCTGTCAACACCTTTCCGTCCCTTGCTCAATTCTATCTGGGCTCTCCTTGTGATTTACCTGGAGGCATGGAATGCAAGTTACAATAGCGCAAACAAAGCACATTCTGCAGAGAAGAGTTTAGGCCTAAACAGTACAGGATTGCCTCTTCAGTGTACTACCAATTTACTACAAGGACGCATTAGAAAATATTAGTTTCAGATTTTATCGATTTTAACAAATTATCACTATAAATACAGTAGTTTTAAAATAGTAACATAAAGGTAAATATAGGAGAATAAGCATTAACTAACAGCATCATTGTGCTTAATATGGGCGTGGTTTGGGCGTGGTTTGTGATACTGGAGCAGCTGCGTTAAAAAAAGTTAAATTGCACCAAGTGCCATGAGCCACATACTTGTCGTGGATTGCCAATATACAAATTGCAATTTATTATATTTTTAAATATTAGAAGTGTGAGGTAGGACGTCCCAAAATTTGCTTGATTTGAGATGGAATGACCTTTCCTCTTCTCACAGCGCTACCTTTTTGTCACTGCACCTCTCTACCAAACAAAACAAACTACAAACAAACAAACTGCCTCTGGAATTGTTTTATAATATACTTCCATTTTAAATTACAGGTCTCTAAAGACCCCACCAATTAAAGACCACCTTCAATTAAAGAAAACTGTGTTGTGGTCTCAAATTAGCCAAAGCTGAAAGAATACAGAAACCCTGGTCCCAAAAGTGGTCTCTAATTGGAGGGAGACACTATAATTTTTCTTGCAGCTCTGTGAGGCAACCAATGCGAGAGCACTTCGCAATAAAATTAATATTAAATATTATTTAATAAAATAAAAGCAATCATTTGAGCATACAGTACCTTAGTTTGACAAGATTTGCCTCTTTAACTGATTTCTTCAATGAGTTTGGTTGACAA